TCAGCGCGCAGGCGCCGCCGAGCCCTGCCTGGATGCTCAGTCAAAGCACTAAGGCCAAAAAAAATAAAAAATAAAAAATAATCAGCAATTTATAGAAAGAAGAAGCTATAGTCTGTCGGGATGCCCAACACCAACAGGTAGGAGGCCATCCTCTCGGTTAAGTTTGCGGGGAGGAGGGCTCACAGTGTCGATGAAACTGCAGGTTCGCCAGGAAAGCGCTCCCCCTCCCCCCCCAGGTGGGTTTTTTTTTTGTTTTGTTTTGTTGTGTGTGTGTTTTTTTTTACAATAAACTACATAATGGAAGTACATTCAGACAATGCATCTTCAGTCGGGCTTATTCAAAGCTCCATTTTTGGAAAGCGTTGCAAGACTGAGGACTATCAGCCTGCGAGCCGCCGGAAACAGTTCCCTTGCAGCACAGAAACAATCTTCTCGCACCATCTTCGCGTATGTAATGCATGTCTCTCCCCTCCTCCTCCTCCCCCCATTATAAATCCAGGGGTGGCGGATTTCAGGTTTCGTAATGTTGCATGATGAGATCGGTATTTACCCGGGGACGTACCAGTGGGGAAATTAAAATCATCGAAGCAGTTTTGCCTGGGTTACCGTCAGCATATTCCGAGCAAGTGAAAAGTGGCAAAGGAAATATGCTTAGTGGAAATAGCAGAGGAAGCCGATTTTCCCGGTGTGGTTCCCAGGCATCTAGAAGAAAATGTGCATTTTTTTTAACGAAGCCACTTTCGATTTGCAACTAAGATGATCAGTGTAAGTGGAAAGGCTTAATTGACCAAGAAAATCAGGTTCGTGTTAAATTTATTTGAATCCAGGCATCCAAGATTTACAAATGGAAGTCCATTATTCCTCTGGGTGTGTTTTCCTGGCCAGAATTTGCATTAACCATTTTTAATAATCGTGTGTGCTTAAAAGAGGAAAGATTTGCCAAAAATGGGGTGGGGTGGGAGTGGGGAAACAAAAGATTAAATCACATCAAATCCTGGGATAATTTCCTATTAATTTAGAAATCAGAAATGTTGAAATTATACCCTAAAGAATCAGCAAATACACTCATAATATGCAGCATGAATGGTGACACATGAGTTAAAAGACAAATATTTTGCAATGGTTCTTTGGATCCATATCTACAGGGGAGTTACCTATAAAATACTGACAGATACTAATACACCTCAAATAAATGTAGTCTCCTCTCTGTCTTCTGTTGTCAATCTTGTAGATTCCATTGCAACACTAGTGACTAATTCCTAGACTGGCATATTTTATGATTGTGGAACATTATCCCTTTTGTCCTAAAGGTACCTAAAAAAACGTATGTTCTCCAAAAGAGGAACATTTTTAAGTTTATCTAGCTTGGAAAACTAAGCAAGCCAATTGTCTGAACTCTCAAGCAAAAATACTAAAGCAAATAATAACATTCAAAATTAAAACTTTACTTATTTCCCATAAATCAACAGCTTTATGTTAGCACTGCCTGACATCGTTGCTTGTTAACTTCATACCTGATAGCTCTTTTTTCCCCCAGATATTCTGATGGCAAATCAAATGGAAGAAAAGAGGAAGCATGACAGCAGATTGGATCGATTCTCTTTGTGGATTACATTTGCAGTAAAATGTATGGGTCTGTCTTTTCCTTGTTCTATCTAGATCATGAGACTTGACTAAGGCTGTATCTTTATCCTCCATCCATCTATGGCGAACTATAGCCATGCAGCTGACAACATTTTGCAAAATCTCTCCCCTCTAACAGCCTTTCTGAAACTGACTTCCTTGGGTTTCATAATAGGAGTCAGTGTGGTGGGCAACCTTCTGATTTCCATTTTGCTGGTGAAAGATAAGACCTTGCATAGAGCACCTTACTACTTCCTGTTGGACCTTGGCTGTTCTGATGTCCTCAGATCTGCAATTTGTTTTCCATTTGTATTCAACTCTGTCAAAAATGGCTCTACCTGGACGTATGGGACTCTGACTTGTAAAGTGATTGCCTTTCTGGGGGTTCTGTCCTGTTTCCACACTGCTTTCATGCTCTTCTGCATCAGTGTCACCAGATACTTAGCTATCGCCCATCATCGCTTTTATACAAAGAGGCTGACTTTTTGGACGTGCCTGGCTGTGATCTGCATGGTGTGGACTCTGTCGGTGGCCATGGCGTTTCCCCCAGTTTTAGATGTGGGCACTTACTCATTCATTAGGGAGGAAGATCAATGCACCTTCCAACACCGCTCCTTCAGGGCCAACGATTCCTTAGGATTTATGCTGCTCCTTGCTCTCATCCTCCTAGCCACACAGCTTGTCTACCTCAAGCTGATATTTTTTGTCCACGATCGAAGGAAAATGAAGCCAGTTCAGTTTGTAGCAGCGGTCAGCCAGAACTGGACTTTTCACGGCCCCGGAGCCAGCGGCCAGGCAGCTGCCAATTGGCTGTCGGGATTTGGAAGGGGCCCCACACCACCTACCTTGCTGGGCATCAGGCAAAATGCAAACCCCACGAGCAGAAGAAGGCTATTGGTCTTAGATGAATTCAAAATGGAAAAAAGGATCAGCAGAATGTTCTACATAATGACTTTTCTCTTCCTAACCTTGTGGGGCCCCTACCTGGTAGCCTGCTATTGGAGAGTTTTTGCAAGAGGGCCGGTAGTACCGGGAGGATTTCTAACAGCTGCTGTCTGGATGAGTTTTGCCCAAGCAGGAATCAATCCTTTTGTCTGCATTTTCTCCAACAGGGAGCTGAGACGCTGTTTCAGCACAACCCTTCTTTACTGCAGAAAATCCAGGTTACCAAGGGAACCTTACTGTGTTATATGAAGGAGCATCTGTAAATCTTTAGCCTTCTGAAACACTGACCTTCTCTCTTAAGCAACTGTGGCCTGTAGCCATATCTTGAGAAGAAAATCAAGAATGGGATTAGTGGTTATAGGGATTTGGGGGACTTTCTGCAGTCTTTGCAATTGTTCACCGATAATCCTATTTTAAATCTCAGAGTGGTCCTGCTGACTGCCCATGGAGGTTTGATATTGAGAAAGGACTGAACCACTGCCCTAAGTTTCTTTATGTGGTTGAAAACTAGGTAATGAAATTAGCAGGTGCTAAGTATCAGTGCTAAATGCTGTGTATATCACTACTTATGAAAAAACATTTCAAAAAAAAACTAGCATTGGACATCTTAATAAGTTAAGTTGACTTGAGGTAAATATGTTGATAAAAACTAATTTTAGAAGTTTGAAGAGTTTAAAACATTTCATACTATTATTGTTTTGCAAATACTAAAATACTTGGGGACTTAAAGTACCATCATCCACTAAAGATATGCCATGAATTATTGAATTGTGACATTTAAAAAAATCATCTTGTAAGTTTGGAGGTGCATTCCAAAGCAGTATATTGGTTCCAATTAGAGTTTACTTTTTTAAAAAAAAAATGTGTTTATTGATTTTTAGAGAGAAAGGAAAAGGGAGGGATAGAGAGATAGAAATATTGTGAGAGAGAAACATCATTAATGGGCTGTGTCCTGCACGCCCCCTACTGAGGATTGAGCCACAATCCAGGCATGTGCTCTGAACAGGAATCAAACTGCTGACCACTTGGTTCCTGGGTAGACACTCAACTGCTGAGCCACACCAGTTGGAGCTAGAATCTACTTTTTAAAAATTAATACATTACCATTACTAAATATCACTTTCCTTACCTACTAGTTAAATTGCTAGCATTGAACTGTATTATTTGATTTTTGTTGATTTGGTACAAAATTTTCCCAATTCGCTTTTATTTGGCCTGGAAGGCTACATTAATGGTACAATTGAGCTGTTCTAATAATTCAGAATAAACATGTGTTGCTTTGAAGAGTTATCTAATATCTTTCATCTTACTTAGTATTGGAGCAAATAGTCAAGGGATAGCAAATCAGTAACTGGTCATGATCATGCATCTGGAAGTACATGGAAGATCATTAATACTCTCTTTTCTTTTTCCTCACGTGGTTTAAAAATTAAGGTGCACATTATTGGAATAATGAAATTGTGCTACTCATTCTAGTATGTTCTAAGAAGCAGGCAGTTGATGTATGTTTATATTTTAAGTCAGCTGTCAAGGGGAGACCACAGCCTTAGTATGACATCCTGCACAGTTTGTGAAGTGTTTATTCTACAGAGGGCACAGTCTTGTTTATATTTTCTGCACATTCAGTGTTTTTGTCATTTAAATTATTTCAGATTTAACTTGTGAAAGCTTTAATATGATTTCTGGTATTTTAGAAATATATTAGAGTCTGTGAGTCTCATTCTTTAAAATACAGATGTGTGAATTTCAATATAAAGTTGCATTTGCCAAAACTTAACTGTGTAGCCTGTTATTTTCTTGGAATAAGTTTTACAGTTTTTGACAATTAAAAAATTTTTGGACCTGAAAAGCAAGCACAAACTAGGAAGACTAGCTTTAATATAGTTTTTTTTTTATTTTTATTGCTCACTATTAATTTAGAAATGGAAATGCATGAATGATAGGGAGTATAAAGCTGATACACCAACAAATTATATTATCTGTGAAAGCATTATTTGATAGCTTATTATAATTATCTTTCTCTTTATTTTTATAAGCCAGTAACATTTAGAGACATACCTGTGTAGTTGGTTAATTCAGAATTTTCATATAAATATCACATTTTAATTTGTGGCAGAGTAGAAATTCGGGATTCTAAATATTTAGCTTGTAAGAAGAATAGTTTACAATAATGTTATGACAAACAGACAAGCTGTTATTGTTTTTTGTCTGTTTTTCATTGTTTTTATTTGTTTGGGGGTTTTTGTACTTAAAAAATAAGTTTAGGAATAATGGAACAGAATTTTTATTGCTATACTATATCTGTAAAGAGAATATATAAATATAAATAAGGAAAAATAAATAAAATGTCGCAGTGATGTATATAACTATTCAGTTTGCTCATATAAGGACAGCTGAAGCGATGATTTAGTGAGGACTCTGTTAGACCTCATTTTTACTTTATACCAAAGTTGATTGGATCTGAAACAGTTTAATGTACAACACTGGGTTGAATCTAGCAATAAAATCCCCTGGTTGCTACTAAAATCATTATCCAATATACTACAATAAAGGAAATGTTATCAAAAGATATTCTGGAAACATTATGTGTCCAACTAAAAAAAATTACAGTAGAGACATTATTACAATGATTATATTTATAGAGAGCAACTGGTAGAAAATTCAGCAAGGATCCTGAGGACAGAGAGAAACCAGTTGCCATGTTGTATTTTGGAATCCTACCTGTGCTATTAATGCTATACACAAAATAACAACAACAACAAAATGGGAGTTAAAGTTCCTCCATATCTTGACTGTCCACTTCCATATGAGAGATATTTCAGTTCCTTCAAGAAACCTGGAGGTGTCTTTTCATCCATTTTTATAGCTTCCTGCAAGTTAGCTTGTGAATGCCTGGGTAAAGGAAGGCACTAAGATGCCCACTCCCAGGGGGCCTCCCCTGGTGCTCAAGCAAAGATGACAAAATGGGAGTTCAAGTTCCTCCATATCTTGACTGTCCACTTCCATATGAGAGATATTTCAGTTCCTTCAAGAAACCTGGAGGTGTCTTTTCATCCATTTTTATAGCTTCCTGCAAGTTAGCTTGTGAATGCCTGGGTAAAGGAAGGCACTAAGATGCCCACTCCCAGGGGGCCTCCCCTGGTGCTCAAGCAAAGATGAGACTTACCTATGAAATGGTACATATCTTTATTATTTAAGTATGCCACTCCTTCAACTTTTCTATTGCCCCCTATTGGAGATATACAACCAAATTACCTAATCTATTAGCTGAAAAGTTGTCTGGCCTGCAAAATTCAAATACAATTAAACATATTTATAATTGTAGAGACATATTCCTTCTCAGCCATGAAGTAGAGTTGTGTTGCAACAGGTGTTACTGTAGGACCCTTGCAAGTGGAACCAAAAATCTTCACTTATATGTATTCACCATTAGATAAATTTACCTTGTGCCATTTTTTACTTTATTCCACCAGCATCTTGGACTGTATTGTTAGTAAAACAAACAAAAAAGATCCAGCTTATATTGGTTTCATATATAAAAAATAGAAAGAAGATAAGATGATAAAGGGTAATGTTTCAAATGCTGGCTAAACACATTAATTTAGGTAGATGGTTATCAGAATTAGGGTTATTTATGATTCCAAAATCTTATGAGTTTGTTTTTCTATGCAAAATACATCACTTGCATGTCTGTGTTGCATGTCTGTGAATATTCTCTTACAAATGTTTTGAATGGAAATTGCAAGGCCTACTAAGATAACAGTTTATTGCTGACATTTTTATTGTTCTCAACTCAGAGCACGCTAGTGTTCTGTGACTTTCCCAATCCCCTCAGAAACTTTTTTAAAACCGCATTGAAATGATAGAATTGTTTGATCTTGAGGCACAAGTTCCTAATTAGTCTATGTAATGGTTAAAACGAAGATGTTATTTGTAAATGATAGGATTCCTTTTTTTGCCATCAGTTAACACCATCAAATAGGTTAAAGGGATATTGAGAACTGGAGCAATGGAGAAAATATTTGGGAGGAGGGAAGTCTAATTTTTTTTTTTTGCCTTATACTACAGTATAACAGGTTTTAATTTTATAAAAGAATTATGAAAATAGGGATTTTTTTGTTGTTTTTTTTTTGAGAAGGAGCTTTTATATCAGCTCCTTTTGCCAAAGGGATGATATCCATTAGCTTGCTCAAGCCCTTTTGATTAAAAGGATTTTAAAGCCAGATTTCCTCCCACCAGATCAGGCAGTTAATTCAAGAACTGAAACCTTGAAAGGCTGGGGAGGAAAGAAAAGAGAACGTGTTTTTCTCTGAGTGATTATAGAAAAAGGCCTCAAAAAAAACCACAGGTGGCTGAGGCTTGGAATTATTCACAGCACTGCCCTACCCCCCCCCCCCGCCACTTCCTAGACAACAAAATCATCTTTAGAAAGGCAAGTTTTTTCCTTTTTAAAAAACATTTTTTTATTGATTTTAGAGAGCAAGGGAGAAGGAGAGAGAGATTAGAAACATCAATGATGAGAGAGAATCATTGATCAGCTGCCTCCTGCACGCCCCCCATTGGGAATCGAGCACACAACCTGGGCATATGCCCTGACCAGGGATGGGACTGTGACCTCCTGGTTTATCAGTCGATGTTTAACCACTGAGCAATGCTGGCTGGGCAGAAAGGCAGGTTTTTAAGTTTGGCTTGGAGACAAAAAAGTTTCCTTTTTTCCTCTGTGTTTGGAAAATAATAGATTCTTGATACAAATATTAAAATTGATACTATAATGCATGCCCTGGTTTATGGGATTTTGAATAGACAATAAAATAGCATTTAACTTATATGGATAGTCAAGATCATGAGGTGAAGAAGTAAGTCATTTTGTTTTCTCCATCATGAAAAAAAAAAAGTTGAGGATGTTAATTTTGTCCCGGGGATAAAAAGACTTTTTGATCATTTTAGTAAGCATTTTTACTTATCCATCATTCAATCAATAATCATTTCCTGCATGTCTGTTCTTGGGCAAGTTACTTAACCTTATCTGTCTCATCAATAAAAAGGAGGTTACAAACATCCTCAGGTTATTGAGAGGACTCAGTGAATGCATCCTTGTGAAGCCCTTAAAAGAGACTCTGGCATCTTAAATGCTACCTTTTATTGGCACACAAATTATGAGACAATGTGATAAGTGCTGTATGTGAGATAAGTGTTAAAGAAACACAGACAAGCAATTAACTCTGTGAAGATGGGAGGAGGAAGGTGATTTCAGACAGAGGAAATAAAATGAGCAAAAGGCAAATAAAGAGATTTGAAAGCTCAGGGTATGTTCAACATAGAGATCCACTAATCAGGGACATTTAATGTGGTGTGGCTGCAGCTTTGCTACCTAGAAGGGGAAGACCAACATGGCATAAAGGTTAAAAAACACACAAGATTTGGAAGTTTAAGTGGTTATTCTGTTTGTTACTGAAAGGGTGAGGGCTATGCCCTCCATCTTACCCCGTATCCTCCATGTTGGGGCAGCAGCCATGTGCTACCTTCTTCCCGGAAGCCCAAGCCTCTGCTGGCCATGCCCGGGATTTCTTTAAAATAACCAATGACAGTCGAGGGATGTGCGCGCCATAAAAATTACCGCATCCTATGTAACAAGACCCGGCTTGCGCCTGGCCAATCGGCAGGGCCCACAGTCAGCTCTCCTCCCCTCACTCCACCCCCTATTAAAACCCTGTTTTTTCCCATGGCAGCCTCTCTCTGCTTCCTGTCGTCAGCGAGGTGGGGGAGCCGAGCTAGCTCGAATAAAGGACTCTCTGCTTTTGCATCGAACTTGGCTGGCTCCCTGTTGGTCTGTTGGGGATCTTGAAATCTGGGCATAACAGTTACCAGCTTTATAATCTTAAAGAAGCTAACTCAACTCTTTGAGT